ATTATAAATATTTATTATAAATACTATTTTTATAATATTACAAATACCATTTTAAACTATTATGTATTGAATTTAGGATTACATGATTTTATCTGAAGGAAAAGTAACAACTGAAATCAGAACTAATGAAGTTTAGGCAAATATTTCTCTACTTCATAAAATAGTATTCCTAAATAACCTTAAATAAAGGAAATAGGATATAAAAACATTGATTTTGGAATTTTTATTGTCAAGATAACAAATTCTATTCTGTACCTTAATTTCCACAGTTGTCTTAGTTCTATGTATAGATTCGATGTTTATCTCTAATCCACCCCTTTATTTGACTTCAACTCTTGGTTAGTTAGAATTTGCCATTCAACAATTATTTTTTGTTGTTTTTAAAGGAATCCAAGGGTGCTGCATTTTCTAAGAGTTCTTGCACACTTGAGAGTATGCCTTTAGACTAAAAGGACTGCTGGGCCACATATGAGATTCTTGGGACATACCTTCTTTCCCTTAGATCTTTGTAAATAATGTTCTATGATCTTTGGGTAATGAATATTCCTGTGAAAAGGCTGAGGTCAGCCTGATATTTTTCTCTTTACACATTATTTGCTTTTATTTTGAATGTCTAGAAAAGTTAATTTTATTTTGTCCTTAAGATGTGCTGACTTTATTAGCTTATGTCTTGGTGTGGATCATTTTAATAATTTTCCTGGGATCCTGAATGCCCTACTGATCTGCTGACACAGATTTTTAGTAAATTTCCCTTTATTTACATTATCTTTTAACATTGTCTTTAATCCACTTGTTCTGTTCTCTTTATCAGGAACAGTCATTATGCCAAATTTTGCATTCTTTGTCTTCCATATGTATCTTCTTTACAATAATTTTTAATTATTCTCTATTTTGTTTTGTTTTATTTCTTCAACTTTACCCACCATGCCTTCAGTCATTTAACAAACATTTATCAGAGTGAGGGTTAGGCACAATTCTCAGCACTGGAAATAATAGCAACAAACAAAAGAGAGAAAAATTCAGCCTTCACAAATTCACATAGACAGAAAAGAGGACAGACGTTATCAGAAGCTAAGGGGAGGGAAGAGAGGGAATTACTGTTTAATGGGTACAGAGTTTATGCTGGGGATGAAAAAGTTTGGGGGAATAGAGAGTGGTTATGGGAACACAGCATTATAAAAGTCTTTAATGCCCCTCAAATGTATAGTTACAAAATGGTTAAAAAGATAAATATTATGTCATATATATTTTATCACAAAATAAATAAATTTTTTTAAAAAAGGGTTTGGGAAGAGGAATAAGCTAAAGTTGGTAGGAGACACTGAACTATGAATTTAGTAGCAAATGAAACAGAAAGATTTGGGGGGAAAAAGCAAAACCCCTCAAACAACAAAATCAGCATTCATATTGCTTAGGTTCTAATGGAATATAATAAGTATCGTAACGAAATATAAAAAACCTGACTTCATGTTTGTTTTCATTTTTGTAAGATGTTTTGCTTTTACTTTCCTGATTCATTTTTCTTCTCCTTTGCTGTCTTTTCTCCTTTAAACAGCATTCTCTCTTTTCCTGCTTCTAAGAAGGATTCTATTATCTTTAATTTCCTTGAAACTATGGAATACTTTTTCAAGTTTTCTTGGGTTTTCTTTGAGCAAGTCATCTGGTGATGTTTATTCTTGACCCCCTTTTATCTCTTGTCAGTTTGTTTATTCTGAATGCTATGCAAAGATCTCTCCTACACATTCTTTCTTCCCATGGCTTTTGTGACATCTCTCTCTCCTGGTTTTCCTCCCACTTCCCTACATGCTCCTTCTTGGGTTTCTCTCACAGCTTCCTGCCCCCATGTTCTTTCTTTAAAAAGCTGTTATTCCCCAGCACTTCACCCTTGTCTGGGTTCACACTCGATACCTTCCTGGTGAATCTACCACTTACATGCTGATAACAAATCACTTGTTTTTAATCACCATTGTCTCCAATGCCTACAACAGTGCCAAATCTATAGTAAAAGCTCAATAAAAATGTGTTCAGTGAATAACTCCCCAGTCTTCATTTATATCCTGGATCTTGTTCTGTGCTCCACTTATACCATATATATCTCCAGATGGTCTAAATGACAAATTTGGCATGTCTAAATCTTAACTCACTGGCTCTCCTATATCTTCTATCTCAAAAATAACATGCAATAAACAAATAAACAATATATTCTTCCTTTAGTAGCTTCCATCTGGAAGAACTATGTTACCATCTGTCAAATGATCAAGCCAAAAGACTGAATGCCACCCCTGGCTCCTCCCTCTCATTCCTATTTCATTTTTTTGTTCTGTGTTAGGACATAATGGTCTTATATTTGAGTCTATAGTCAGGAAGTGGTCATGAATTCTAACTTGCCCTGTACATATTAAGGAACTCTTTAGCTCAATGGTTCTTAACTGGAAGTAGTACTCTCTCAACGCTCATGCAGGAAATTTGGGAATGCCAGGGCTTTTGGTGGTCACAATGAATGGGGCACTAGAGACATTTCATGAGTAGGGACCAGGAAAGCTAAATGTTAAGAATGTTATCAGAAGTCCCAAATAAAAACTGTGCAGCCCCAAATGCCAAAAATGACCAAATGCCACAAAAACATTGCACCTGGCTATTTTTTTTAAGCCACAAGATGGCAATAAACTCCAAGAAAGTCCTGAAAGATCACTTTTCTGGCTAAATAGAAACACACAGTTTCTAAATGTCCAAACAGGAAAAAAAAATTTTTTGATTGAAAACACTGAAAAAGGGGCACCTGGGTGGCTCAGTCATTTCGGCTCAGGTCACAATCCCAGGGTCCTGGGATCAAGCCCCACATCAGCTCCCTGCTCGGCGGGAAGCCGGCTTCTACCTCTCCCACTGCCCCTGCTTGTGTTCCCTCTCTTCCTGTCTCTCTCTCTGTCAAAAAATAAATAAAATCTTAGAAAAAAAAATGCTGAAAAACACTACTGAATGAACCTATGTATTCCAACTTACATTTGTAATGGAAATTATGGATGATTCTTTCTAAATTAAGTTACCAAAGAGGCACAAAAATTCCTACCCCTCTGCTGGAAACCTCATTCTACTAAAAAGACAAATTCTTTGTTTTTCAGATATTTCATTTTTAGAAGGTCAAGTAAACAGTGGGAATAGCACGCTATATAATCTTTGTCCTCTAAGGACATAGAGCCAGAAAGATCTCATGCCAAGTCTGAAGAATAAGGTTAAACATTAAACTAATACCTTTTTTAAAAAATTAAAAACAAGCAGTGGACCAATAAAGTAAGTCTCATTTTCCTGAGTGGCTTATAAATTAGCTCCCAAAACAATTCTAAAATGTTTTAAAGAAGGGAAATAAACAAGAACCACTGATACTTCCCATGAGCACAGATTAAAAGAGAAATATTGTGAGACTAAATTCTGGTATGTTTATTTAAAGACACCAATTAGTTGACAGTCGTACCTTTAAAAACACGCTTCTTTCAAATAGCTTCCAGTATACAGTCTGCTATTCCACAAAATACACTTAAATATTGAAGTCCTGAAGTAAAAATAAGTTAGATACTATTTCCTAGCAGAAGCAATGCAGAATGTAGAAATTAAGATAATTTGTTCTCTAAAATCAAACTACCCAGTTTGAATCTTTTTATATATGTGACTTTGGACAAGTTACATAACCTCTCTGTGCCTTGGTTTCCTCATCTGTAAATGAGAATAACATAATATCTACCTCATGGAGACATTCTGAGAATTTAAAGAGATGACATATATAAAGGCATAGGACATTTAGAAACATTCAATAAACGTTAGTAGTAGTAGTAGCTATTACCATTACTATTATATATTTATACATGTTTTTTATTTTGAAAAACCAATGCTATTATGGGTCAGAACTGAAGACAGTACTATTAGAATTTAAGCCCAGCAATCCCATCTTATATCATAGTATCTTAGAGACTAATGATCTTCAGAGAAATAATCCTAAGCAAGTAAATCTCACTAGGTGTCATGCCTTTGCAGTCTCCCGATCCATAAATTTAAGCTCCTCTCCAACTAGGAATCCTATTTTACTGCTTTCTAATTTCTTGAAAATGTTTGTGACAACGTCTACAGCTCATGCAACCATAAACCCCCCTCAGGGCTCACGCACACTGCAGGGCCGCAGAAGCACCGACAATGTATTCTAATTCTGTGCAAAGTACAGACCCTGCGGTAGCGGCCTTGGTGGCCATCACTGAAACATTCAAAGTTAGGATATTGCTAATAATATGTGATTTCCTACATAAGTTAAAACAGCCAAAAAAAAAAAATATCTAAGAATTTAAATGAGTTTTTTCTACGTCTGAGCATGGTGGGGCTACTGGTGTTCACCCCTATCAGGCTCTCCTTTCCTCCCAGAGTGTATGGGCAGTATGGGAAAATTTTATGTCCCAACGCTTTACATTAAGCAGGGCCTTATGCCTCATTTTAGCCTACAAAACAGAAGTAGAAGCAAGACTATCACTTCTGGGCTGGGGTGTGTAGAGTTGGTGCGCCAGATCTGTCCGTGTTCTCTTTTCCCTGAAAAACATGTCTTATGAGACAGGGGCCTCATAAGATGGAGGGAACCTAAACCCTGAGTGATAGAATGAAAGAGGGTCTTGGCATGAAGGAGAAAGAAACTTTGGCCATGCTATGCCACTGAGATTCTAGAGTTTGTTACTGCAGCACAGCCCAGACTAGTCTGACAATGTCCTGAGGAACTTCATTTTTCTCTCTATACCCTACCAACCAACTGACAGTGGAGGCAAAGGAGGTGGGAGAAAATATGTCCTAGCAAGCAGAAGTAATGAAAGAGGAATTAGAGAACGCTGGAAATGGAGAAGTAAAAGTAGAAACACAGTAAACAGTAAATCTATTTTTCTTACAGAGTCCTAGATAGCTCATTTGGCACCTTTGTTCTGGCCATAGGACATCTTTGCATATGACAAAAATATTCAAAGAACAATTAGTACCTGCGTAACTGAGCATTTTCACTTCTTAGTGGTTGCATGGCCAGTGCTATTTCAACTTGAATATTTGTGTTTCCACTTATTGCTGGAAGCAGAGATATACACGCCTCCAATTCTGTAATCAACCTCTGAATTTCCGAATCCTCTATAAAAGAGAGAAGAAATAAGTAATAACAATACCGTAAATTGGTTTTGGATGATTATTCATGTGTATTACTAAAAAAGAAAATTCTTCAGATATGTACATATTTGCTATAAACAAACAGTTCAATTACTTATAATTGTGATGCATATAAATCCTATTTTCCTCTTTCCTGCTCCCTGTATTTGCTTATTCAAAAGAATTCTAAAGAAATTAAATTCAGTGAACTAAAGATTAATTTTCTATCCTAGGATTATTAGTGATTTTTTTCAGTTAGAGTCTAGTAGGAAGACAGCTGACATATCTCCTAGCTCACAATCCCAAAGGACTATTGGACTCCTATCACTGCTGAAGGGTTTCCTAAAATTGATTACAGTAATAACATTTACAACACAACTTTTGATCCTGGCATAAGCAAATAATTCACTTTAGGTGATTCAATTTGGCAAAATATTGAGGGAGGATCTACTCTGATAAGGTTTTATTATTTAATTTTATAAAGCAGATTTAAAACAACTAGCCACACCTAATTTGGTGTCCACATCAGAAGCAGTACCATTTTTGCTATTAATTTCGGGAAGTGGATGGTTTAAGAGGTGGCAAACAGACACAGGGAGAAGGTGGATTTTAGATCTTTTGTCCTTTTATAATTGCCCCTTCATTTCCATTCAAATTTTCTGTGGACTAAAAACATTTAATAATTATATTTACTTTCTTATACCCAAAAGAGGTAGAAAGTATACTCTAAATTACAACACTTTACTCAATCCCACGGGTATTTTAACACCCTGATGTAAATAAAGTACACGTACACAGTGAACATCTGTGACCAACTGCTGAGAAGTTCCCTACCAATCCTTTGTAGAGTGGTTTTGCTCATAAGCATTGGAGGCAGAGACCTGGGCTCCACCATTTTCTAGCAATGGAACTTTAGTCAAATTACTTAACTTCCCAAAGTCTAGATTTCTTGATAGTTAAATAGAGATACCAATACCTCATGGAATTGTTGTGAGGATTAAATGAGATAATGCATATAAAACACTCAGCACAGTGCCAAGCACATGGTAAATACTCAATAAATGACAATATTGTTACTCTTATTATTATTCTTACCGTGATTATTTGGTTAAGAGAAGAGTAATAAACTAAAGGTCTGAAAACACGGAGATTTTAATATATTAAGCCTTCAGATTAATAGTGCTATGTTCCTATAACACATTTTAAGATTTGGAATCTCTTTTTGTCAATCTGCAAATATTAGGTATTCAGTCAGTGCTGCCATAATCAATTACTGTGGTTTCTATGGTTTCTAAGATGACAAATCTGTAACTCACTCCAAGTGAAAGCTATTATTTAGCATATACACATAATGAAAACAAATAAATATGACTTGGCTCAAATATCTCATAACTCCACCTAAGACATTTTTCTTGATTTAATTAAAAAAAAAAACCCAAAAGTAAACTGAAAACGGCATTAAAAGGTTTGGATTACTTCTCAAAGTCAGATTTGTTAAATGTTATAACACCTGGTTATTAAAGAAATGATGGGAAGAAAATCTCTGCATCTTTTTAAAACAGGAAAAATCACCAGTCTAGTCTAGGGAGTTAATCATCTTTAGGGCTCTTCTAACCCCTAAAAGTTTATGGCTATAAATTCTCTTTGGTTGAATCTTTTCAAGGTCCTTTTGAATCAAGCAGAATGAATACACACTTGCAAGTAAAAGACTGTTCAATATTCTCTTGTACATTTCAAATCCACAGGAAACAAGAGATCAAAACCTAAAAAGTAACAATAAAATAGGCAGAACTCACTTCCTTATTAGCTCAAGACATATTTCTGTGGAAAATACCACAAACGCCATGTCGACTATTCTAAATATAAATGATGACTAAATAATATGACACTGCTGTTTAGCATTAACACCCCGCTACAGAAAATTATTTTAAATGTGCTCATATACCTTGCTCTGCTAGCAGGGCCTTGAGCTCTCCCAATAAATACTTTATAGTTCTGGCTTTTTCGGCACTCTGGTTCACATTTTTTGCCTTCTGCACATCCTTTATTCTTGAATCTCGCATGTGTATGTTTAAATCCTTTCCTTCACTTGTGACTTCTCCAATTTGTTCTTTGGCACATTTGTCTTCATTACTGGACAGGAAAGCTGGTGGCAACAGAGTGGGGCTTTGGCGAATCTGACTGTCCGGATGAGAATGCAAGAGATTCATGTATGTTTGAAAACACTTTAGTAGGTCTGGTTCCTTAGGAACTCCTTGCTGTGGCAGAATTCCATTAATAAGACCCAGCTGCTGAAATGGTGGAACAGTTGGTTTGTCTGTTTTAGGCAGGCTACATGGAACGCCAAGACCAGTACTGAAGGAATTCTGTAGAACATCAGTACAGTTCACAGAAACTGTTTTACTTTGTGATGCAAACTGGTTGTCACCATCAGTCTGAACCTCCTACAGATAGAAAAAACAAGTTAAGCCTTCAAAAATATAAGCATTGACTTGTAGGCATTAACTATAATAAACTCAAACCAGAAATATTAGAAAATGACTTTTGCAGGATGGAGTTATAGCTTACCAGTGAGTAAGCTGGATTTCCCTTGAGTACAATGTTCTAGTTTTTTAAAGCTTATTAATTAGTTCACTCTGCAATATGGGAACATTATAAAGCCATGGCTAAAATAAACTGTTTGCAAATATCACACACGGTTTAAAGGCATCAAAAATCAGTCCACCTTGGGACTAAAACAAACTTCCACTTTGGGAAATTGCATTGCAAGAAAATAAGCTCAAACATACAAAAAGCTTTTGCACAAATATGTTTACAGAAACGTTATGGTAGTAAAAAACTGTTACTTAAATGTCCTACCAGAGGGGAGTAGTTACGTGGACTATAGTATATCCACTAAATAGAGTATTAACATATTAAAAATTTACAAAAGGTATGTTGAGAAACATGTTTACAATAAAATGCTAAGTAGAAAAGGTAGTATATAAAACTGTATAATTTAATTATAACTATATATATATATTTAAAGATTTTATTTATTTATTTGACAGAGAGAGAGAGAGAGCACAAGCAGGGGGAGCTGCAGAGGGAGAGGGAGAAGCAGACTCCCTACTGAGCAGGAAGCCCCACATGGGGCAAGATCCCAGGACCGTGGGATCATAACCTGAGCTGAAGGCAGGTGCTTAACCAACTGAGCCACCCCAGTGCCCTTATGACTATATTTTTAAAAGAAAGCAAACTTAAATAAAAACCAGAAAACAAAACCAGAGAATTAAATGATTGGCAAGCACTCTATCAATATGTTAACAGCAAATGTGCTTAATTGGTAGGTATGGGTGATTTCTTTTTTCTGATGATCTCTTTCCTCCGACCCCCACCCTTACCATTATCCTTAATGAATGGGTAAAACTTTTCTAGTAAAAAATAATTTGAAAAAATAATGCATTATCAATCAGTAAACTCAATTTTTTCTCTTAAGGTGATGATTTCTCAAAGCAAATAATTACTTGTATAATGTATAAACTGTACCCACAGAATGAACCATTGGAGGGCAGGATGGATGCTGTGGTAACTGGACTGGGGTGGAGGTAGATAAGCCATAACTAGAATGTAGAGTTGCCTGAGATTCTAAAAGGTAAGAGGACAAAAAGTTATCACATCTCATAATGCTTTTACAATAAGTAGGCAACTTAATTAGAGTTTATATTCATGCTTTTTAAAATATCATTCATACTAACCAGAATCAGACATGGTCTGGCAAGGTACAGTAGGAATTCCATTAGGGTTGTTCTTTGAAGCCAAGTTATTCATCAGTGACATTTGAGTCTGCACATGCTCACAGAGGGCTTGGTATATTATGGGTGAATACATTCTATAGTGATCTTGCAATGACCAATTTTGTGGTATATCTGATGAGTCTCTCTCACTTCCAGCAGAAGCTTCATTAGGTATATGTTTCTTATTATCTGAAGATACTAATACGGAAGAAGGGAAAACAAATTCTTGAAATATGATTCTTTAATTACCATAAAATATTAGGGAAGAAAAGACTCTCAGAAATAGCTCAATTTACCATCTACTTTATAGAAGGGCTTTACCACTATCACCCCCTAAAGAAAATCACCTCAAATTCTCTTTTAAAAGTAGTTAATGAATTGTGTACGTTCTCCAGTCAAAAATTATTTTTACCACATCTTTAAAATCTCTATTAAATGGTATCTATAAACTCTCTCCTACAATTACAAGACCCCTCTTTATGGGTGTTATTTCTAAAATCTAACAAAACTCATTCACCTTGCTTCTTGTCCAGTTCATGCTCTCAGTGGAAAATAGAATAAGAGAGACAGGAAACTGTTACAATTTTGATACCTGGACCGTTAAAAAAAAAATCAAGAGCTTTGAGAGCAAGAATAAAAGTGTACTTAATCTACACACTGGGCCCTTGACAAAATCTTAAACCTGGCATTTAAAGTTGAGTAATAAACCTACTTACAATATATACACATAAAATGACTTTAAGACAATTAGTATCTATAAGTATGCGCATGAAACACAACCAATTTGTGGTTACTTATGGAATTAAGTGGCAAGGAGAACAAAGATAACTCTATATATACCTCATAAATGTCATTCTGAGTTTGAACCTTTTCGTCTACAAAACCCAGTCTGTCACTTTTTCTACTCTTCTTCTTGAGAAAGTGATGGTAAACAAAGTAACTAGCCAGTAGTTAGAAGCAGAATAGAGAAAGAGAAGCATAAATAAACACACACATACACGCCTGAATAACCCACATATTAAAATGAAAGACCAACTGCATACGCCCAATAATTTATCAAAACCCTCAGAATTAAAGATTATATATATATATATTTTAAGATTTTATTTACTTTTAAAGTAATCTCTACACCCAACATGGGCTCGAACTCACAATCCCAAGATCAAGAGTCACACACTGCACTGACTGTGTCAGCCAGAAGCCCCAAAGATCATATTTAAACAAAAAAGAGAAAAAAATACTTACAAATTTCCTTCCGGACTCCTGAAGGAACATGTTTTTCATGTCCTTTCTTTTTAGCTCCAAATCTTTTGCCTTCTAAGAATCTGGGATTATATCTATTTTCGGAATATGCTATTTCTGAACCTATTAATAATTAAAACAAAAATTCATTTGCATTAAGAGAATTATTTGAGAAAAGGTGATTGGCAAAGAGGTATTTAAAAAATTGAAAAACCTGAATCTTCATTTCTCAAAATGTCCTGCAGCAAAGAAGCACAACCATCAAGCCCTTGTACAGTTTCAGTCTGTAAGGAGAAAGCCATTTAGAAATGCATAGGCAAAATTTTAGTGCAGAGGAAAAAAAAACAAATTATGTAGTTTTAAAATTTCTTTCTTCAGAAGCAATTTATTATTGGTAGAAATATTTTAAAGCAAAAAGCCTTCAATACTTTACCTCTGAATTTTTATTCCCAGTTCTTAGTTTTTAACCTGAAAATTAATTATAATAATGTATATTGTATCTCCTCAGTTTAATCTTACCTGACTTTCTGAATCAGAATGGATAGCATAGCCAGAATCTGCATTAAAACGTGATATCTTTCTTAAATGGGTCCTAGAAAACAAGTTCATTAATATTTTCACAAATACTACAAAACTTTTTTTCCAAAATATATTAATAAGTAGTCATTTTCTTCCCAGCAAAGGTTGGATAAGAGAGCTTGTCCATAAAATGGACTTATATAGGATTTTATAATGACTTTAAGGACTGTTAAACACTAGAATGATCCACATGAGTAGATATGGAAGGTTCCTCCCCAGAGTCTGTGAAGGTAGAGACCCATCTAGTTTCCTGGGGCAGGCAAAATTTAGTGCAGCCCAAAGACCTGAAAAGTTTCTTGAGATTTTCTGAAGTTGTAAACTTCTTTAAGTACTTACCCTTTCTTTCCATTTGTTAATTTAGCAGGTCCGGTGTGTTTTCCTGAAGATAACACCTATGATATAATGCATTATATTATAGTAAATATACAAATATTGTTCTATTATATTCTCAGTAGGCTGTCTTTTGACATAACCTGAAATGTTGTTTCCTTTCTTTTTGTGGTAAAAACATGACATAAAATTTACCATTGTAGCCATTTTTTAGTGTACAGTTCCATGACATTAAATATAATCACACTGTGTAACCAACACTACCACCCATCTCCAGAATCTTCTCATCTTGCCAAACTGAAATTCTATACCCATTAAACATTAACTTCCCACCCACTCTTGTCCCCAGCCCTGGGCAACCACCCTTCTAATTTCTGTCTCTATGAATTTCACCTCTCTAGGAAGCTCATATAAGTGGAATCATACAGTATTTTTCCTTTTGTGACTAGCTTATTTCACTTCACCTAATGTCTTGTAGCAAGTGTCAAAATTTCCTTCCTTTTTAAGGCTGAATAATATTCTATTTGATGTATATAGCATGTTGTTAATTTTTTATAAATGTGATATATCCTATAAATCCATAATTACAATTGAACTCTTACTAATAGTTTGTTCTACATAAAATGTCAAGCAAACAGCACATATATTTGTTCCTTGTATCTGTGTAAGCTGAAAATGAAATTGAAGTATTATTTTAACCAGAAGTATCTAATAGAGTTAAGTTTGGACTATATTCAATCTGAGCATGTCCTACACTCCCCAAGTCTTCAAAACATAAAGTTAATTCAACATGTAGCATAGAGTTCATAACTCTGATTCTATTTATCCACATTATTTAGAATGCCTGACAAGACCAACCCATGAAAACTTGTTATCTACATTTCACTCTTAGTTTCTTCTCAAACTCATATGACAATATTTTTTAAAACAATTTTATTTTTAAATATAACAATTTGAACTATTTGTTAATTATTAAAAGTAAAATAAGTGGGCTACTTTTGTGTACAAGAAAAAAATGCACTTGCTTTAACGTGCATCCAATATCTTGAAAGTTAGGCAAGTAAAAGTTCATTGTGTTTGCCTCTGGGGAGAGAAAATGAGAATCTGGGGGACAGAGCAAGAAGGGAGACTTTCTATGGTATACCTTCTTACATCTTAATAACAGGTAACTATAATCTCTATTTAAAATATAATTTAAAAAGGATTTTATTTATTTGCCAGAAAGAGAGCGAGCGAGTACAAGTAGGGGGAGTGACAGGCAGAGGGAGAGCAGGGTCCCCGCTGAGCAAGGAGCCCAATGCAGGGCTCGATCCCAGGACCCTGGGATCATGACCTGGCTGAAGGCAGACGCTTAACTGACTGAGCCACCCAGGTGTCCCTAAAATAGAATTTTTAAAAGACAAGTTAAATTCCCTACTCACTCCCTCATTTCACCGTTGAGAAGTAGTCACCACTGTTGGCAGTTAACATTTATGGTTTCTCTTGACATGTTACATATTTCCTCCCAAGAAAGCTTTCAGCAGTAACTATTAAACTATCTGGAATTATATGCAACTGAGAGCACATTTTAAAAATTGGGTTAATAGAGTTACACTTCTCCTTGAGATAACTTGGGATATCATGGAGTCATAAGGCCAGCAATGAGAACCAACACCGTAGGAAATAAGACCCTATGTGGTGTTGCTCTGCTGGTCCCTGCATGACATCCGTAGGGTCTTTCCCATTGGTACATACATATGTTGGTGTTCTGGCCAGAATCATAATAAAATTCCAAACCATGGCGCTGCTATGTTCTGGACCAAGTCCAAAAACACCTACCACAATTATTTTATTTCAAAATTTTTAAAAAAGTATACAGAGGTAAACACATGGCATAATTGTAGAATAACACAATATTTCTCTAAAAAATATACATGAGGTTATATTACAGAAAACAAGGTAATGAAAATTACCCAGGATAAAAGCAACAGTAGCTATAATAATGGCACATCTCCATCAAAACTTTTTTTTGTAATTTTTATTTTGAAATAACAGTACAAAGAATTTCTGTATACCTTTACCCAGATTCCCCAACTGTTGATATTTCACTGTATCTTCCATGTTCTCTCAAAATATATATATTAACACAATATATACAGTACAAAAAAATATATATAAATAGTATTATTGTTTTTCTGAACCATTTCAGGATAAGTTGCAGGTATGATATTAAATACTTATTCCTAAATATTTCCCAAGAACATGGTCACTTATATAACCACAGTATAATTATCAAAACCAGGAAATCAACATTGATACTGTATTATAAATTACAGACCTTATTCACATTTTGCTGATTATTCCAATACTGTCCTTTATAAAAAATAATGCTAGTACATGTGCAATGCCAGGATCATATGTTGCATTGAATTGTCACACCTCACTAGTCCCCTTTAATCTGGAATAGTTCCTCAGGTTATCACTGTCTTTTATAAGCTTCACATATTAAAAATACAAGCCAGTTATGTTGTAGAATGTCCCTCCGGACATTTAGACTTGTCTGATTTTCCCTCATGATTAGATTGAGGTTGTACATTTTTGGCAGAAATACCACAAAAGGTAAGTTTTGTCTGTCTTAATGTGAGTAAGCACATGGTATCAATTTTCCCATTACAGATGATGTAAACTTTGATTATTTAAGATGGTGTCTGCCAGGTTTTTCACTGTAAGGTTACTATTTTTACCTTTGTATTAAGCATTTAATGGGCAGATACTTTGAGATTATGCAGACTTCCTATTCATTAGACTTTCACCCAGTAGTTTTAGCACCCATTGATGATTCTTGCCTTAATCCACTTGTTTGTGAAAGGGTGACTTGTCTAACTTACATCATTCCTTCTACATTTATTAGTTGGCATTCAACTCTAGGTAAGCACTTTTCCTTGTTTGTTAGTATGGACTCATTCTTATTTTATTCAATGGATTATGATCCATTATCATCATTATTTAAAATATTTTGATGCTCCATTGTCCCAGATTCTGTCAGTGGTAGTCTTTTCAAACTGGCTCTTGTGTCATTTTAATAGGTCCCCACTATTTTTTGAGTAATTCCTTACTTTCTGCAACAAGGTGCTCTGGGCTCATCCTTTGGTTTTGTTTTTTCATTGTAGTAAGAACACTTAACATGAGTTCTCCTTTCTTCACAAATTTTTAAGTGCACAATACCATATAGTTAACTACATGTATGATGTTGTACAGCAGATCTCTAGAACTTATTTATCCTGCATAACTGAAACTTTATATCCATTGAATAGCAACTCCCCAAATCCCCCCACCTCCAGCCTCTGGCATCTGCCATTCTGCTCTCTGCTTCTATGGATTATGACTATCTTAGATCCCTTATATAAATGGAATAATGCAGTATCTGTCCTTTTGACTGGCTTATTTCACTTAGCATAATATCCTTAAGGTTCATCCCTGTTGCATATGGCAGGATTTTTCCTTTTTTAAGGCTGAATAATATTCTACTGTGTGTATATAGCACATTTTTTTTTATCCATTCATCCATCAGTAGACATTTAGGTTCCTTCCACATCTTGGCTACTGTGAATAATGCTGCAATGAACACAGAAGTGCAAATATCTCCTTAAAATCGTATTCTTTTGTATAAAAACCCCGGAGTAGAATTTCTAGATCGTATAAGAGGTCTATTTTTAACTTTCTGAGGAAATGTTATGCTATTTTTTATAGCAGCTGCACCATTTTACATTTTCACCAACAGTTTATAAGGGTTCCAATTTCTCCATATCCTTGCCAATGAGAACTGCCATCCTAAAAGGTGTGAGGTGTTATCTCACTGTGGTTTTGATTTGCATTTCCCTAATGACTAGTAATGTTGAACATCTTTTCATGTGCTTACTGGCCTTTTATACATCTTCTTTGGAGAAATGTCTATTCAAGTCCTTTGCTCATTTTTTAATCAGGTTATTTGGTTTTTTGCTATTGAGCTGTAGGAGTTCCTGATATATTTTGAATATTAACCCTTTAGTAAACAGAGGGTTTACAAATCTTTTTTTCCACTCCCTAAGTTGCCTTTTCACTCTGTTGTTTCCTTTACTCTGCAGATGCTTTTTATTTTGATGTATCCAGGCTCATCTTATAATTTTCCTGCTTCAGCTGTGGAGTTGACCATTCCTCCATGAAGTCATGGTGCCTTTTAGTGGACAATGGTATTTAGAAACCAAGATCTAGGCATTAGATATTGCTACTGGGACTTCTAATCTTTTTTCATATCAATTATTTACTTAGTCATAATGCCTAGCTAGTTACAAAAAAGTAAATCTTATGGTTTTATTTTTAAATCTGTTTCCATATTAGCATACCTTCAAATTTTCTTTTAATGGTTGTATAGTATTTCTTTGAGTGGAAGTAATATAACATGTCCTAGGTTTGCTTCATATTTTTCACAATTGAAAAACAAGCCTGACATAAACCTCCCAATATACAGAAAAAAGCCTTTTCATAGTCAGGATTAAAAGCTTATTTATTTGGTGAAAGGCCATTATTCATTTAATAGCCCTTGACACAAATTACAAAAATACTCTCCAAAAGGAGTGCCTCAAATCACAACGCATGAGACAATCATTTTGTTTTATCTCACATTTACTACCACTGGGTATTATCATTAAACTATTTTTCTTTGCTATTTGAGAAAAATATAAGCTTTTCTTACAAGTTATATCTCCTACCAACAAGTACAAGATAAAATTACATTTGTAGAATAATTTAGAGTATCCCAAAGTCTTTCATTTCCATTTAATCCACACCCCATGATTTATTATTTCTGTGAAGTAGGAACCCAAATTTCAGAAAGGAGGCTTGTTCAAAGTCATACATCTGATTAAATATAGTGTAATGTTTAAAAGAATGGACTCTGGCAGCAGCTTTGTAGGTCTGAATCCTGCTGCACTGCTAATGAGTTTTGTAACTACAGGAAAATTATTTGAACTCTTCGTTCCTCACTTTCCTCATCTATAAAATGGAAATGATAATAGTATCTACCTCATAAGGCTATTATGAATATTAAATGAATTATGTGTACTATGTAAAAATACTTAAGAGTAGCATCTGTCACACAAGTGCTACCTAAATGTTAGCTATTCTTATCGTTAAGATGGTTGTAAACTGTTTTTAAGGGGACCAAATTTTGTTGCATATTTACGCCAAGAGTGAAACAGATGTTTTACCAGGTTCTCTCATTTAATCTCCCCAATTCTTTGAGGCAGAATGATACCTATTTACACCTATTTTATAGCTAAGGGAAAGGAGACTTGGAGAAGTAAAAAGTACTTTGCTTAATGTCACTACCACAGTAGTGGCAGACTGGGAATCTGAATCTGTAGGTGACCAGGATTACAAAAACCATGTTTTTCCCCCCTTTCTGACTGCACATACTCTTGAGTTTACTCAACATAAGAGATCTAAAAGGGTGAAGATGGTCAGGAAGTACTCATGAAGAAAGTCTTTTGAGGGGCACCCAGGTGGCTCAGTTGTTAAGTGTCTGCCTTCCACTCAGGTCATGATCCCAGGACCCTGGGATTGAGCCCCATATCAGGCTCCCCGCTGGGTGGGAGGCCTGCTTCTCTCTCTCCCACTCCCCCTGCTTGTGTTCCTGCTCTCGCTATCAATCTCTGTCAAATAAATAAATAAAATCTTAAAAAAAAAAAGTTTTGAGCCAGGTCTTGAAAAAAAGCGTAAGATTCACATTAATGGGGAAGACAGCATTATAGGTGAATTGATAAATGAAGGGAGATTTAAAAAAAAATACAGAAAGAGAGGTGGATATATTTAAAGAGGAGTAAGATCACTCTAGAAAGTGAGTCTCTGTGAGAAATAGTTGATTCATTACCTGAAAATCTACTATACACCAGGTGCTGTCCTAAGCCTTGAGGATATAGAGATAAATGGTGTAATAAGGGAGATAGACATACTGGCAATGTCTCTCGCCTGAAAAGCAGTTTGATTCTGGTTAGCACAGAGCACAAAAGGGGCGGCAAGGAACACCCAAACAACGGGGATGTACGAGTGCTAGGCAAGCCTTCTGTAAGTGGTCCTCGAGCTGAGGAGGAGATGGAGAGTGGAGGTACCAGGAATAGAAGAGGATTCTAAGCAGGACAGAAAAGAAAGTGCAAAGGCATGGAAGCATGAGGGGGCATGGGGCATCTAGGACATGCAGAACAAACAGGTGAACAGTGCTGGATACTTCAGGAATGGAGGCGGGGTCCGGTAAGGAATGCACTAGTGGGATCAAAAAACGGCTGTGTTGACAGGCCAAAGAACTGAGATTTTTACTTTGAAACCAAAGTGTTCGTGTCAATTTTTAAGCAGAAAAGTGAATCATTTAGTTACAACGAGGGGCATGCATTTGAGAAAGGTAGGGTTGAAGGCGGGGCACTAATTGGGAGACGTCCGTTTTTACTAGTGGTAAAATAACCAGCAATTGTGACGGAGGACCAGCTAATAGCTGCACTAGGTGGAACAGCCGAGAACCTGGGTTTGATGCGACAATGTACTGAGCCTTGGAGAGGTTCCTCCACTCAGGGCGGAGGCTAGACTCGAACCCGCGCCCCACACCAAAGCCAGCACTCTGGCGACTACTACGATTAAAACAGAATATACATCTATGGACGGAGCGGCTGTTAGGATGTTAAGATTGGGTGTCCCCCCAGTTCCCCTTTCTCAGCATTTTAAATGCCGCCGCATTGTCTTTGTTTTTACTTTTTTCAGAGTTTTGCACTTCTCCCGGCACTAGAACCCCCTCAATCCCTCTCTACCCCCATGGTGGACGCCTCAGGTCCGCAGCCCTCACCTGGCCAGCTCGAGATCCGGACCTGACCATCTCTCGCAGCCTCAGAGAAGCCCACACGGAGGGAAGTAAACCCGCCCGATAAAAGGAATTAACCGCCGCGGACTCCCGGCCCCCCTTGGCCCGCCCCCCAAGCTTCCGCTTCCGGGAAGGAGCCCGCCGAATCCCGCGCCTCATAGTTTCGGGAGTGCAGCCGAGGCCTCTCCAGTACTCCCAGCGCACCGCTCTGGGCGTGCGCAGTCGACCCCTCCCAGCCGCCTGCTCGTCACACACACGCAGGGAGCGTGGGAGAAGCCCACAGAATGCGAGCGGGGCAGGGCGGGACGGGGCCGGGGGGGAGGGGGGCGGGGCCGGCCGGGAGGGGCGGGGCCGGCCGGGAGGGGCGGGGCCGGCCGGGAGCGGCTCGGAGTGTGCGCGGGGCTGAGGAGTCCCACCCCTGAACACCTGAAAGAATTGAGTTCACTGTCCTTTTGCGAAGGCGTCTGGTGCAGGACAGGTGCCCTGCACGAGCCGGGGGGAAGTGGCGACAGGCATTCTCCAGGGCCAGAGGAAGGGACTGAGGAAGAGGGCGGTTAGGTTTTAGAAGGAATTGGTTCGTTCTGTGTTTTGTGTGCTATTTTGAATGACTTTGTTTTTGATAGTCAATAAAAATCAATCCTCGGTCTGGTTATCTTTGCGTAATTCTGATGGCAATTTCAAAATTATTCACTGTGGCCCTTGATCTCAGAATGATGCTCATTAATTGGGATTTTTGTTTTACTTCCATGCATAGTTGTTTACTCTTCAATCGAGGTAATTACTGTTAATGAAGAATGACTCAGTGTTCCTATATTAGCATGCTTCACGGTTTTTAATGGGAATTAGTCTTTAGTGTTTAAGACATTGAGTTTTGGGTTAATGTTTTAAATCGAATTGGGGAGAAATTAAATAACCCAACTGATTACATTTTTAATAGGAAGAAGAGCTACGTTTTGAAAGTCTTAGTTAAAATAAAAATCCAAAACCTAAAATCATACTGATTTGGGGAAACTAGGTATTTAATAAATTTAGCTTTGTATTGAATTAGACTTGAAAACCTCTCCCTTCTTCATCCCTCTCCTGTAAGTGTTTAACATAGTTAACTTGGGATTACAAAGTTTTTTCCTTAAGTTGACTTGATTTTTAGAAACTTACACTGATTTTTCTTAATACATGCTTATTTTAGAAAATAGAGATAAGAAATCAAAAATCATCCATAATCCCAGAGAGTACCACTCTTAGCAGTTTGGTGCATTCCCTTCTTGATTTCTCCCAACTGTATATATATATATATGTATAAATATATTAAAACAACAAGATGATATGATGCATATTATTGTAACATGAGAGTTTTAATATCAACATCGATTCTCAGTAATTTACAATTACAAAATGGCTGCCTGGTGTGCCATTTTCCTACTGTTTGGAATTTTATGCTCCTCCCCCTCCTTTTTGTTTGTCTGCTTTTTGGTTTTCCCCTTTTTCCCCTCTTTTTTAGCTTTTAAGGTAATAGCTTCCAGTGTTTTTTGTCTTTATTTTCTCACCTTTTTTTTTACTGTGGTAAAATACACAAAACATAAAATATACATCTTAGCCATTTTTAAGTGCACAATTCAGTGGTACTAAATACATTCATAATGTGCAACGTCACCACCATCATCTCCAGAACTGTTTTCATCTTATGAAAGTCAAACTGCCTACCCATTAAACAACTCCCCATTCCATCCACCCCACGCCCAGGAAGCCCCGGCAAACACCATTCTGCTTTCTGTCTCTCTGATTTTGATAAAGTGCCTCGTATACACAAGATCATAGAGGGGCGCCTGGGTGGCTCAGTAGGTTAAGCGTCTACCTTGGGCTCAGGCCATGATCCTGGGGTCCTGGGGTGGAGTCCTAGGATGGAGCCCCAAGCCCTAGGTTTGGCTCCCTGCTCCGTGGGGAGCCTGCTTCTCCCTCTCCCTCTGCCTGCCACTCCCCCTGCTTGTGCTCTCTCTCTCTCTCTCTGTGTCAAATAAATAAATAAAAATCTTTAAAAACAAAACAAAACAAGATCATAGAATATTCCTTTGTGACTGGCTTATTTCACTTGTCTTCAAAAGTTCATCCATCTTACAGCATATGTCAAAATTCCCTTCCTTTTTAAGGCAAAATAATATTTCATTGTATGTATATACCACATTTTGTTTATCTGTTGATGGACATTTAAGTTGCTTCCACATTTTAGCTATTGTAAATATTGTTGCTGTGAACATGGGTATACCAATATTTCTGCCAGACCCTGCTTTCAATTTTGGAGGGTATATACCATCATATGGTAATTCTATTTTTAATTTTTTGAGGAACTACCATACTCTTTTCCACATGGCTGTACCATTTTATATTCCCACCAACAGTGATACCATTCCATGTTCTCCACATTCTCCCCAAAACTTATTTTCCATTTGTTTTGTTGTTGTTGTTGTTGTTTGTTTTTTATAGTAGCCATCCTAGTGGGTGTGAGGTGGTATCTCATTGTAATTTTTATTTTCATTTCCCTAATGATTAGTAATGTTGAATATCTTTTCATGTGCTTATTGGTCATTTATGTATCTTTGGAGAAATGTCTATTCAAGACCTTTGCCCATTTTTAAATTTAAATTTTAGTTAACATACAGTCCAGTATTGGTTTCTAGAGAATTCAGTGATTCATCATTTACATACAACACCCAGTGCTCATCACAACAAGTGCCTCTTTAATACCCATCACCCATCTAGCCCATCCCCCACACACTGCTCTCCATCAGTCTCAGTTTGTTGTCTATTGTTAAGAGGCTCTTATAGTTTGTTTCCCTCTCTCCTTTTCCCCCCTTCCCATATGTTCATCTGTTTTATTTCTTAAATTCCACATATGAATGAGGTCATATGGTGTTTGTCTTTCTCTGACTGACTTATTTCACTTAGCATAATACACTCGAGCTCCATCCACATCGTTATAAATGGCAAGATTTCATTCTTTTTATGGCTGAGTCATATTCCATTGTGTATATATACCACATCTTCTTTATCCATTCATCAGTGGGTGGACATTGGGCTCTTTCCACAGTTTGGCTATTGCTGATAATACTGCTATAAACAACAGGGTGCAGTGGCAACTGGGTGGCTCAGTCAGTTAAGCGTCTGCTTCCTGCTCAGGTCATGATCCCAGGGTCCTGGGATCAAGCCCCACATCAGGCTCCCTGCTCAGTGGGGAGTCTGCTTCTCTCTCTCCCTCTGCCCCTCCCCATGCTTGTGCTATCTCTCTCTCTCAAATACATAAATAATCTTTAAAAAAAGAAACAAAAAAAACCCACATTGGGGTGCAGGTGCCCCTTCGGACCACTATGTTTGTATCCTTTGGGTAAATACCTAGTAGTACAATTGCTGGGTTAAGGTAGTTCTATTTTCAACTTTTTGAGGAACCTCCAGAGTGGCTGCACCAGTTTGCATTCCCATCAACAGTCCTTTGCCCATTTTTTAACTGGGTTGTTTGTATTTATGTTGATGAGTTTTGGAGTTCTCTACATATTCTGGATATGAATATCTTATCAGATATGTGATTTTTAAATATTTTCTCCTATTCTGTGGGTTGCCTTTTTACTTCTTGATATTGTATTTTGATGTACAAAACCTTATTTTCATGAAGTTTTCAGTTTGTCCATTTTCTCTTATTGCCTGTGTCTTTAGTGCCATATCTAAGAAATCATTGACAAAGCCAATGTCATGAAACTTTTGCCTTAGGTTTTCTTCCAAGATTTCTATAGTTTGAAGTCTTATATTTAGATCTTTGATCTATTTTTTAGTTAATTTTTGTGTATGGTGTCAGGTAAGTATCCAACTTCTTTCTTTTGCATGTAGCTATCCAATTTTCCCAGCATTATTTGTTTGGAAAACTGTCCTTTCTCCATTGAATGGTCCCTTGTCAAAAACCATTTGACAATATATGTGAGGGTTTATTTCTGGATTATCAATTCCATTGCTCTGTATATTTGCCATTATCCCAATACGACACTATTTTTATTACAGTAGCTTTGTAATAAGTTTGAAATCAGGAAGTGTGAACCATCCAGTTTTTTGTTCTCTTTCAAGATTATATTGGTTATTCAGGGTCCCTTGAGATTCCATATGAATTTTAGGAAGAGTTTTTCTATTTCTGCAAAAACTGTCACCTGGATTATGATAGGGACTAAGCTGTAAATCTCTTTGGGTAATACTGACATCTTAACAATATTAAGTTATTTCAATCCATGAACATGGGATGTGTTTGCATTTATTTGTCTTTAATTTCTTTTATCATTGTTTTGAAGTTTTCATTGTACATCTTTCACCTCCTTGATTAAGTTAATCCTGAGTGTTTTATTCTTTTTGAAGCCTATTGTAAATGTAATTGTTTTCTTAATTTCATTTTCAGGTTGTTCCTTATTAGTTGTATAGAAATGCAACTAATTTTTGTGTGTTGACTTTGTATCCTGCTACTTTGTTGAATTCATTTATTAGTTCTAACAGTTTTTTTGATACAGTCTTTAGGGTTTTCTACATATAAGGTCACACACTCTGTGAACAAAGATTATTTTACTTCTTCCTTTCCAATTTGAATGTGTTTTATTTCTTTTTCTTGTTTAATTGCTCTGGCTTGAACTTCTGGTACTATGTTGAAGTGGCGAACATGGGCATTGTTGCATGTTCCTGATCTTAAAGGAAAAGCTTTCAGTCTTTCACCATTGAGTATGATGTTCTCTATGGGTTTTTATATATGGCTTTTATTATGTTGAAGTAGTTTCCTTCTTTTTTTTAAGATTTTATTTATTTATTTGAGAGAGAGTATGTGAGTGGGATGGAGAGGAAGAGAGAATCTGAAGTGGACTCCACACCAATCGCAGAGCCCAACACAGGACTTGATGCCACAACTGCGAGATCATGACCTGAGCTGAAACCAAGAGTTGGACGCTCAACCAACTGAGCCACTCAAATGCCTCAAAGTAGTCTCCTTCTATTTCTGTTTTGTTGAGTGTATTTATCATAAAAGGATGTTGAATTTTGTCAAACGCTTTTTCAGCATCAGTTGAGATGATCATGTGGGTTTTTTCCCTTCATTCTGTTAATGTGGTATATTATATTGACCATTTTTCATGTGTTGAGCCATC